AAAAAAAAAAAAAAAAGAAAAAGGAATGAGCCAATATCTCTTTAATCCGCTATAAATAAGACACACATTGAGTTGAGATATTCGTAACGTCTCGCGTCTTTTTTCGCCCGATGACATCAAAATCCGTAATAGAAGCAAATTGGCCGTGGCACGATGTGTCAGGCAGAAGGTTAGGCTCGTCATACCGATCGTAAATCAGTATGAACAAATGCTAAAGCCACGCCTCGTTTTCTCTTGTTACGTGCATCCCGAACGCCATCGCTGTCGTTGCCGGAGACGACACTTCCGCTAATTACAACGATGCCAGCCATAAACGACGCATGCTCGGTACACAAAAGAAAAAGGCCCCGGCTATCGAACACTGCGACGATAAATTTCTTAATTAATAGGTAACGGACCAATCAATGAGGAAATAATGAAGAGAAGAGAGGGCACGGAGAAGAAAGGAATGGGTAGCAAATGGGAAGCGAATGGGTAGTGGCACTTACAGCGAGAACAGACCGGCACCTTCCTTTTTCTTCACCACCTTCGCATTCCTGTTCTTATTCTCATTCCCCTCGTTCTCGTTCCCCTCCTATTAACTTCGTATGGCGGCTGCTCGTTCGCCAGCGGCGCATATTACAAGTATTTATGCCGTCTACGGCTAGAGATGGAATCGAATACCTCGCAAGTAGCTTCGAACCTTTGGTCGTTGGATTCGAAACTTTTGATAAACATTTCAACGAGTTCGATGTCCGAATAACTTGAAACTCGAACGAGAAAAACGAGGAACGCGGTAATTCTTTCCTTCAACTTGGCGACTAGGACCAAGCTTCCTGGTAAAATCTGTACGACAGCTGTTTAAATTTTAAACATACTTGCTTTATTATTATTCATCGGTACAATCTCCAAGCCTTGAAGATTATTTTATATAAAAAAGCATTCGACCTTAAATGCACGTCATTGCAAATTTGCAACATTCTGTGTCTCAACATTCTATGTTTTATTCTAAGTCTGCAATTTAAAAAGATTTATGCATTTAAATCGTAGGTCGAAACTTTTTGTATTTCCGGAATGAATCAATTCAATTTACATTATTTCGTACGGGGTGACGTAACACGGAACATATTCTAGAGTCTATTGCATACTTGAATTCACGCGGCATGGTTTCGAATGCTTCGTGAACTTCCGGAAATGGGAACAATACTTCCTGTTAGACTCGAATATTGATAGAGATGGGATCGAGTATCTGACAAGTTCGAACATTTTAAATACGTAGATACGGCAGACAAAACATGTTTATATCTTTTTATACGAGATTTTCAATTCTTCCTCGACATTTAAACATTTGAAAAAGAGGAACATGCTTCTTCATTGTATTGGCACGAACGAGTACGTTTACAAAATTTGTAGACACTCGGTATAAAATGAATACATGTATTCATTTATTTCTTGTATAATGATTAATCATTCTTGCGTAATCATTCGTGTAAAATGTAAAGTACGACTCACTCTGTAGAATTCTGATTCCCAAGAAGTTTCGAATTTTACAACTACGTCTTCCAAACTTGTATTCATTCTAGACTTCGGGATCATTTGAATACATTGTGAAAACGAATGAGTACATTGAAATACTTTCATTCTCTATACATATAATGTTTCGAAATGGGACGAAACTTAGCAATCAAATTTTAATTGAATTCGCACATATTCGACTTGATCCCATCCCTAGCCTACATATATAACATAATTGAACGTGTTTCGATAGGGAACGTGGGCGTTCCAGCGACACGGTGCGTTCGTCGTTTTGCCGGCATCGAACGTCTTTGATCGCGGGAAAAAATTAGAATTCTATATTTATGAGCTTGTCGCGGAACGTTTCGATAAAATCTCCGCCAATGATCCGTCTTCGTTCGCCTACTAATTATCTCGAAATTGGATGTATTAATATACAACTTGAGGGGTGAGAGACTGAGGAGAATGACTTATCGCGCGACGAGTCGCCGCAGTCGACTTAACGATCGAATAAGTGAATCGAATGGTATTCGAAGTCTGTGGGTGGTAAGTCTCAACGTACGTTACAATTAATCAATTAGATAGGTTTGAGAATTTTTTTGAAGTTGGTCGGACTAATTGCTAGTTAAATAGGAGACGAAAAAAAAATATAAATTCCGATATGTGAATTTTTTCAATATTGTGAAAATTTGAATACCATTCAAGTACGACTCATGATACTCGAAATTTCCATGTCTAATTGAATGAACTATTGCTGGTTCAATCCACTTGTTTAATCTTGAATCAGTGAACTCCTGTCGTATGAGTTCCAATTATTTAAACTGTCTCTCGACAAGTTTACGTAATCGGAGTTTTGCTTGAAAACTCTTGAAAATCTTAGTCTTCAGTACATTAAAAATTTTTCATTGATCTTGAGTTTTGAAGATTTTGATGGATGACAGATATTGAAAGCTTAGTGAGTATGTACAATACAAGCATAGTATCTGTAACAATAATGTAACAAAACGTATTATTACAACATGTTAAAGAAAATCATACGTCATACACACATGTGACTACATGTCTTATTGCAATTCAATATAATTGACACGATTGAAGAAATGAACCCTAATCAGAAGTTTGTTTCCGTTATTAAACGTTATAAAAAGTATACTGTATTTACATTCTCGCATGTGCTACGCGTTCTCTGCGTTTTTGTATCATTAAGTTTCTCATAAATTGCATAAGAATCATTTAATTATTCGTTTACGTAATGAATATGAAAATGAAGGAAAAAGACTTATACATGTATCAAATACTCATCAAGTTTTCAATATCTGTTACCGAACTTCAAGGCCTTCCCAAGACAAATCAAGATTATTAAGATTCAAGACTAATCAAGACCTCGAAGGCAAATCAAGACTTTCCCGAGTAATTAAAGCTTCCAAGACCGGAAGCTAATCGAGACCCTTGAGACTCGAGGCTAATCACGACTTTCGACACTCTCAAAGCACCAAATCACGGTTCTAATATTTCTGCACATGTACGTGCAACACACGTGGAAAGCGATACGGAAAATGCTTCCTAACTCATCGCTAGATATAGCACTAACTTTAAATTTACATTTCTTCCTCCACTCCCCGTCCCTTATCGCTGAGTTGAACAATGAACTGCTCCACGGTTCGTCGGTACGCGTGGAAACTTTGATTGCCCGATTTCAAATTAACTACACGAACAGACGTGCACAGGATACACCTGTAGGTATATCGCGGCGGTTACGGCCAACACGAGGCGGTTTAAATTCGCGTGTACCGAAATCGGGGGTAGTCGAACGCCCGGGCAAAGTGTCCAAGGGAGCGCGATTAATTCGGCTAATTTGGTCACGAATTTCCAAAGTGGTGATCCGTAGCCGGCGCATGTTTACCGCGATTCCCGCGCGCAACCTATTAACCGAGTGACGAGACCGCGTTTCACCGGATTAAACGATCTCGCGGCGAAGCCGATACGACGGTAAGATCCGCGCTGGCTGATAGATCCACGCGGCAGCGGCGGTCGACGGCTGTATAATCCGATTCGCCGCAAACTTGTAATTAAGCACAATGAATATCCATTTCGGCAAGCCGGCCCGATCTATCGGCGAGGCACGGGTGAAATCTTAATTGCACGCCTCTGCGATCGAGCAATCTGCATAAATTAAGAGACCGTCTTACGTGATCCACGTGGTATGTAACTTACATCTTTTTCGAGATAGAGCGTGCGGGGCCTAGACTAGCAGACATAGCGGTAATTTCGAACGTTGAGTTACCGAGGAAGATCGATGGGCTTGCGTGAAAATTAAACATCCGTTTCGCATCGTTTCGTTCTACATCCGTCGGCGGGGATTTTCCCGCGGTCTCTACTGAACGAATTTGTATTTTAACCCTCTTGGTTGGAACTTGCGATGAACTTCCATGCATTCATTCCGAATTAAATGTTTGTTTCATATTTCTTGCTTTTATCGTATTTCACTTTCTTATGTCTTTACGTATCATATTGTTTCGTGTAATGTATTAAATAAATTAATCAAACTATATTGCTTTTTAGTAAAAATATTCGTAGAAATAAACAATTCGTCGTTACGAGAAATACACAGTTCTTAACAAAAATCACAGAGTGGGACTTCAGCAAGATAACTAACTAATCCGATAAGTAGATCATAAGTTTGATCAGACACAAATATTTTTTCTATTGCTGTTACTTTAATAAAATTTATACGGATATTATAATTAACAAATGTTATTCTTTACTGGAGATGAATACTCCCAGTATTCATGTTCATGTGTGTACTACCGGGTTAACGAGGACACACGTACGTATCCCTCCTATCGCAAAGATTCAGCGACAATTTCATCACGGTGGAAAACGACGAAGTAGGTTTTCTCGTGAATCGACACTTTACAGAGATCGCAACACTGACACGAGTATATTGAATTTGACGCGACGCAGCGCATCAGGTAGCCAAAATCGGACGAACGAACGATCGATCGATCGTGACCCGACGATTAATCATCCCGCTCGGCGCTCATCGACGATCAACGCCGAGATGATGGAATTCCTTTTCGCGAGAATCAAACGAGGGAACGTGTAAAACGGGAGTTCCATCGAGCCGGATCGGAATTTCGGGATTCTAATCAAAGGCTTTGGGGGTTGTGTTGCACAGAGCCGAGGCGGCTGACGGAAACGCGGCTCGAGTGGCAAACGCAGCCGGGGCTGGTGCAGGTTCAAGGACGGGGCCGAAGAAAACACCATCAGGCGAAACGATGGCAACGCTCCAAGAGATCGATCAGCCGGCCGCGTCACGTCGAGGCGCTCGTTGTCGCTGACACGACGATGATGGCTTTTCATCAGGACGGCGACGTCGAGACGTATCTGCTGACCATCATGAACATGGTGTCGTCCCTTTACCTCGATCCCACCATAGGGAATTTCATTAACGTCGTCGTGGTCAGGATTATCCTTGTCGAGGAGGACGACGCGGAAGTACGTGCGAATTACACCGGTGATGTGCGTTGCGTTCAACAACTGGATGGGCACGGCGTTGTTTCACGACAACCGTTGTTTTGTCCAGTTTATTATTTAATAACCAGATAGATCG